CTGATCTAACAAGTATGACTATTTTGGTATTAAATGATGATGATTAAGATTATTTGATGTTGCAGATCATTTTGGAATTGAATTTTAAGATATTATGTTATTATGTTGCTTGTTTTCAGCACTAGTCAGGTGCGGTCTCTCATCCAGACCAGAAATAATTTAGTACTTTCTTAAAACCTTACTTTCGTATGCGAGGCTTCTCCATAAAATAATAAACTTTTTAATGTGCCTGCCTTAAAAAAACGACAAAGTTATTATGAGTTTAATTACTCAATTTCTTAAGCCACATCCGTCTACATTAAAGTCAAACATATACTTTAAAAGGCGAATTCGTATAGTAGCAGACGGACGCAATTAAAGCCGCTGATTATCTGCAACAAAACGCTATATGCAAATGACAATTTATATATTTTATGTATAGCGAGTGAGAGAGAGATTTGAAATCTCTGGGTGCGGTCTCGGGCTCTTAATAACAATCAGAATTCACGGTAGCATAATGTGGAGATGACTGCTTGAATGATGAGACCGGTATCTCTTTTTTAACAGCGGCCAGACTCATGAGCTATATTTCTTTTCACACAATTGCCGCCTCGAGAGGAAAACGCGCGCCTTAATTCTTCTCAGGGGCATCATTAGGGCGCACGTTTGGCGCTGAATAATTTCACAGACTGCCAGCATCAAACAATCGGTCTGGGGATAATGAAAATGAGACAATCTTTAATTGGGCCCTTAAAGCGAAAAAACTGCGGCAGCGTCCCTAATGGCCTCACTTAGCGGCCCCCCGCTGCAGAATCGAACTGCCCAGAGTAAAAATGCGACTCGCTAATTGGCGCACGGCTAAGTGATAATTTATAGCTCAGACGCGCAGGGATAAGCATTTTATTCTTGTCCGAGATTTTTTATCTTCAAGAGTTGTGTGGATCAAATTTGCCCTTGAATTCTTCAAGCTAGATTGGTGAAAAATTTGCGTTTTTAAAATAATTATAAGAGGGAAGTGCAGTGGAAAAAATTTGTCCAACAAAAGATATAATTGGATAAAAAAAAATGAATAATGTATGTCGACGTTTGCAAACACAGTAAGGAAGAATGGTGTCAAAATTATGATTTTGCGTTTCTTTAATATAATTTGTTGAGGATTTTTAGAATCTCCACTCCAGCAATCTCATAATTAACTTTGCAACTCTCAGTAGTTTTGCTCTTGTATGTTTTTTTTATCCAGCTTTTAAAAAATCATATGCTTACAATTGTAGTTGATTTTTAAATTAAAAATCCTATATTTTTCAACAAAATTATCTAACCTTTGCTCGTCCTGGTACATTTTGATTAATTTAATATTAATTTTTTTCACAAATTAAACGCAATCGACATTAATATTAAGGTATTTTAAAAACTATTTTAAAAGATCATAATTTATATATATTGCTAAAATACTTCAAAAGTTTATTCTATAATCCTTTATTTACGTGCAGAATTGGCACAATATTTTATCAGATGTCAAGAAAGCATATCAGAGAAAAATTCTTATTGTGTTGAGAGTCAAGATATGCCGCTCAATGTTATAAGTACGCTGGAGATCTCCTCTCTCATTTGATCCCATTGCCAGTGTTTAAGAAAAATACTTTTCACGGTGGCGGCTGCCGAGTGAGCTACCTCATTAAGATAGCCCCCAGCTCTCTTTTAGAAACAGGGTGGGCCGTGAAACGATCTTTTAAGTTCAAATGAGCTTTCCATATAGAGGAATCTCTGATTAAGGCGAGTTAAGTGCATAAAATTAGTTTGTGATCAGTGAAAGGACGTATCAATTTTTGTCAATTGACTTGTAATAAGAATGATATTATTTAATTTTATCAATCTACATAAAATTTGAAGTAAATTTCTTTAACCATCGCAACTACTTTATTGGAGATGAAGTTATTTACAAAAATTACATTGAATAAAATTTATTATTATAAATTAATTATACACAGATAAGAATAAGTAATATTTAATAATATTATTTAAGAAAATTTATAAAATTTATTAAAGAACATGTTTTATTTTTAAATCTTATCTTAAAAAAATGGTTATGTATTTATGATTTTAAATCTTCAATTTTGTTTTGGCTTGTTCTACTCATTGAAATCGTGTAATTCTTCGAACAATGGATTTTGCAATTATTCCCACCGCGGGCACCTGTTGCCTTGATTGTGTTGGCGGCGCCGAGAAAAACATTGCAGGCGCAGCTATTGTTGTCGGTGCGCGGCGGCGCGTTTTTCGCCGATGGGATTGGGTCGGACACAATTGGTAGGCGCAGCAATTGTACTTTAACTCGGCACCGCACGATGACACACGGCTCGGGCGTGGTTTCGAGAATCGCGCCCGCGAACAATGCCCGCAGCTTTTTATTGCTGGGATGAGCACCGGAGCGGCACAGCCGAGCCCCATTGGTCGTCGGTGCATCAATTGTGTGCACCGACCGACTCGGCGAACGCACCCGACCGCGCAATGGAATGGAGAACGACCGCGAAAATTAAGCATTTTTCTCACGGAACCACAGAAATGGTGGCCATTAAATTATGGAGGTGAATATTCTTTTTTTATATGGAAATTGGGCAGTAAAACAGCCATTTAAAAAAAATTGAGACAATTTTGAAATTTAAAAAAATTGTTAGTTTGTTCCCCTGAAAATATAATTAATTTTTAATTACACTAAATAAAACAGTCAAATAGATTTTGATCAGGTTTGTTTCTACATTATATTTTGGTCTAATTGTGTGCCAATTGAAGAATCGATCCATTTAATGAGCATGCAGAAGGGGAACGATTCAAATTTTTTACATTTAATTTTGCGCTTAATGAAAATTACAGACTAAAATCATAATCATATTTGGAAATTTAAATAGCGTATATTGGTGCAGGAGGCTGAGTGGAGGTTTAAATTCTCCTTAATATTTAAATTCACAATTGGACAGTCTAGATTGCATAATTGTTTGATATTAATTTTACACCAAATCAGCCTTACATTTTCCCCTATAAGATGAAGCAAAAATACGACTGATTGAAAAAATCATTGCCTTTCGCGGAAACTGCATCCAAAAAAGCAATAAACTCAAAATGCTGCTCAACTTTTGAAAAAGATGAAAGAATGAAGAATGTAATTTTAATAATACAATGTGTAAATCCTGTCTCAGTCAATCGCGTCTACTTTTTTTGCCTCAAAATTTAATTTGCTTTCGTTTCTCTATGGGAACCAAACTGTGCGACTTGAGCAAAAAAGTATGAGAATCTTTCGATCTCCTCTGAAAGCCCACAATAAATTCAAGTGTTAATAGTCCACGGATGAGTCGGACGCTGAAAAATTATAATTTAGTCATTAATCGTCGGCGCGCAAGTATTTGTTGCTTATTTAGAGAAAGATAAACTTCTAAATTATTGCTCAGAGGCACCGGTATAAATTTGCTTGATTATTATTACGAGAGTGCTGTGGAGATTCTGTGTGAAGCCGGCTTAAATATACTGCAGGTGCTTCTCGGATGCTCGAACCAGTCACTCGCTTGACTTATTTCCTTTCTTCACGCAATCATTATTACTATTTTATACATGCAGCGCGCACTGCCTTTATTTATTTCAGCTCTGGCGGCGGACGCTGAGAAAATCTGATATCACGCCGCTCTCTGGACCACGAGAGGGAATAACTCATCCTCCGAGGAAATTTTACACTCCCGAGTAAAAACAAATACTTGAAAAGCAGTTTATTTTATTTATTATTATTATTTTTTTTTTTTTTGCAACAATGGCCTCTAAACACAGCATATATTGTAAGTCATCAGCGCAGACCTAGTTAGGTGGATGGAAATTAATAATAGTCTATCAGTCTATTGATTTTCGCCACCAGTTAAATCTAATATCACATTTTGCTCCACTTCTATCCATCTCGCCAGAGAGCGGCATCTACAGAGGAGAGTTTTTCGGAACTGCAGCAAATCGCTCTCCGTGCCGACATCTCCCGCAGATAGGCTGAAACTCTTAACAAAAAAGTTTCATAGAGCACTATTAGAATTATATAAAGGCCGCCCAATACAAATACAAAAACGAAAATTTTAAAATTTAAAACTCAATGTATAGTCTTTATATTTTTTTTTACATATGAGTTGATTTTAAATATTGTGTAAATTTCGCAGCAGGTTAATTGTAAGAGTTATTTGAATTGCGCATCTATCATTCTGTTAGACGAATATCCCACAAAAAATATTTTTTATTTCAAAATATCTACGTGAATTTCATTCTATATCCGCTCTAAGCATTAGTTTTGGACGTAGAATGACATACTTATCATAAAAAACTTGCTATATAAGATGTGATTTCAATTTTAATATAATTATTCATAAAGGATTTTGGTTAAAGATAAATACCCTATATATCTATTTTCAAACGTTAATATCTAGGCGCGCGTTGCTAACGCCCATCTGATAAAACTTTTTTATGCTAATTTTTTGCTAGCACTACAAATGGATGCCGTTGATCTTCTTCACTAGAGTAAATATAACCAATTTTTTTTCCTGAAATATCTTAGAAATAGTCAGCAATCTGTTGTAAAATATCAAACCAAACAAGTGTGAAATTAACCAGGAAGTGATCAAAAGGATTTGTTTCCAATTTTAATGAATTGTGAAGTATCGGAGTGAAATCAAATATCAACTAATAGTTTGGCTTGCACGTGAGACGTGGTCATTTTTAACATTATTTTTTTTTTATAATGTGTATACCATTTTCCAGAAAATAACATAATTGAACTAAGCATGCGTTGGTCATCAATCATGCAATACAATTACAAAACGTCAGTGATGTACCGATTTTAACTATTTCTTTCAAGTCAAAATTTTACAATTCGCAGTGGGGCGTCCCAGTAATGTAATTCATTGGCATTTTGATGAACACAAAATTTCTTGATTTTTTTTTTTTTGCATTTTAATTTAAATTTAATCGCAATCATTTAAGAAGCGGCTCCACTGGAAGACAAAATGTGGCGAAAGGAAACAATTTTGCTGCTACCAATACTATTTGCGATATTTTCGTCTGCATCCGTCAACCGTCCGAGAGTCATTGTGAAACAAGGCGTGTTGGAGGGAGTTTGGCAGACTTCGGCCAAAGGAAATCAGTTTGCTGCTTTTATGGGCATCCCATATGCAAAACCACCAATTGGAACACTTCGTTTTGAGGTGAGAAGTTATAAATATTACGAAAAAAAAAAATATAAAATAATTTTTACTAAATTTTGTAATTTTTAAAATATTTTCTGATAAAGCCACCAGAAAATCCTGAACCGTGGGATGGAATCAGGGATGCAGGTGACTTCGGCCCTAAGTGCAAATCATATTTCCAAGCTTCAAAAAATATACCAAATTCATTCGTCGGCCAAGAAGACTGCCTCTATTTGAATATTTTCACTTCAAATTTACCCAGAGAGGGCGAAAATAATACAATGTACGACGTGATGTTTTACATCCACGGAGGCGCTTTTATGTTTGGCAGCGGTCAATATAGCGGAGGAAAATATCTGACGGACAGAAATATTGTGCTTGTAACAACTAACTACAGGGTTGGACCTTTGGGTACAATTTTTTATAACTAAAATCAAGAAATCATTTACGAAAATCTTTTTATGCAAATTAGGATTCCTGAGCCTGGAGGATGAAATCATACCAGGGAACAATGGACTTCGCGATCAAGTTCAGGCCATGAAATGGGTCAAAATGAATATTCAAAAATTTGGCGGCAACCCCGCAGCCGTGACCTTGGTGGGCCATTCTGCTGGGGGCGCCAGCGTCCATTATCACTCTCTCTCCAGCCTTTCAACTGGTATTCCTATATTTTTTTATCAGTTCACTTCATTTTTTTTTTCTATTATTATTAATGGGCTTTCTACACTCTCATTCACAGGCTTATATAAGAATGGTATTTCAATGAGCGGCACAGCTACATGTCCATGGGCCTTGGTTGATAACGCAAGGGAGCGAGGCTTGCAATTTGCAACAAGCGTTGAGTGCAACATTGAAATGGGTTCAGAGCATATTTTACAATGTCTCAAAGAAAAGCCTGTGGATAGACTTATGGCAGCCGTACCATCATTTTATGTATTATTATTTATACACATATTTTAAACATATTATCAATTAATCAATAATTTAAAGGTTTCTCCCCTTGTGCCCATTTCTCCATTTGGTCCAGTTGTGGAATCAAAGCCATCAACTAAATATGCTCCATTTCTGGAAACTCCGCCGGCCCAAATTATGATTTCGGGCAAAATGCGCCGACATCCGTGGATGCTGGGTATAGTGGACGCAGAGGGACTATATCCTGTTGCTACTTTCATTAACAATGAGGCCGAGCTGGAAAAACTAGACAAAGAATTTGACGAAGTTGTACCGCATTTGTTAGACTTCAATCATACAGTATCGGTATCTGATAAACTTAAGGTAACAAAGCGAATCAGGGAAGAATATTTTGGTGACAAGAAAATCAGCAAAGAAACATCAAAAGAAATAATAAAAGTAATTTTTCATATCTCATTTATTTGACTAATCATTAAATTTTATTATTTTATATGTTTTTAACTCCCTTTTAGATGGCATCAGACCGACTTTTTGTTGTCGACGCTCAGTGGGCTGCCAAAATACAAAGTCGGTTTGCCCCAGTTTTCTTTTACAATATCAGTAAGAGACCAGGGAAGAGCTTTACCGATTTAATAGCTCAAACTGATATTGATTATGGTAAATTAAATGTTTATATTGTTATCTCAGTTTCAAAATTCCGCATATTTAGGTACAAGCCACCTTGATGACCAGTCCTACTTATTTGACTTTTCCATATATGATCATGAAAAATCAGATGGTGAAAAAAAATTCATTGAAATGATTCTTGATTTGTGGACTTCCTTTGGCAAACACGATCTAATGTAATATTTAAAAACGAAATTTGTATGAAATATAATAGATTACTTTTATTTTCAAAGGATGCCTGAAAGTGCTGGTTTTAAGTGGAACAGAGTTGATCCTAACAAGAATTTTAGCTATGCTCTTTTAAAACACGTTCCAGGATACATGGAATATGATAATGACTTAGGGAATGCCAAGTTCTGGACCTCTCTTCCCATCAATGAAGGGACGCAAAGAACTAAACTTGAAGGGATTTATTAGAATTTTCAAACATATGCAATAAAAAAATTAGATTTTTCTCTTTTATACCCAATTATAATAGCCAAATGCCACATCGCTTTAGAATATTGATGTGTAAAATAAAATAAGTGCTTCTTAATACAATGATATATCACTGAAATGGATGAACCTACACAAATTATTGCATCAGCTTATAAATGGCTTAAGAGAAAAATTAAAATGTACCCAATGTTTTTTTTTAACGTTTTCTTGAAAAGCTAAAGATTCAACCAAAATATTTAAAGCTGAGAATCGTCTATTTTTTGCTGCCCAAAGTAAAATGCACTGATTGAATATCTATATTTATTAAATTAAAGTGATTTTGATTTTGGATACTTCAACAAATAAATAACCTATGAACTAAAATATCAAATTAAATATGCAACATTCGTCAATTTAAATGCAGGGCGTAAAAAATAATCGTCATCTTATCAGTGCCAACCATGATTTCTGTTTGTGCAAGCGAGCTCCTAATAAAGTGACTAAAGATCACTTTTTTTAAATATAGAACCATACTTCTCATTTCAAATTAAATACCATCATATTATATTTATATCGATGAAGTTACTTCATTGCAAATGGTCCCCAACAAGTTATTGAAGACGAGTCCATAAAATCTGACTGATTGAGCACGAGGCAATTATCATAAGTCAAACTTTACAGAGTCACTAACAATGATTTCACTATCTTATCTACGCCGATCATAAAACTACACGCTTGTCGGCCGTTCTTTCGTCCACGTTGTTTAATTTTTCTTTTGCAGCGCTTCCTTTTGGAAGGATGATGCGCGTAATATTATCAAAAGCGCTTGTTTTTTTTCTTCCGGCAATTTTGTTCACTTCCTCTGCATTTGCCGACCGACCCACTGTGACGGTGAAACAAGGCGTGCTGGAAGGAGTTTGGCAAACTGCAGCCAAAGGGACTAAATATGCAGCATTTAAGGGCATTCCATATGCAACGCCACCAGTAGGATCACTACGATTTGAGGTGATTTTTCAACAAAATATGAATTAAACAAGTTAAATTGGAAATTAAATCATTTATTTCCTTTGCCCGTTGAAAAGCCACCTGAAGATCCTGAACCGTGGGGTGGTGTCTGGGACGCAGGCGACTTCGGTTCCTTCTGCAACTCTTATGAAGAAAACTTAACGCCTCACATTCCTGGTCATGACCCAATTGTTGGTCAAGAAGATTGTCTCTATTTAAACGTGTACACACCACTTTTGCCTAAAGAAGGCGAGAAGAATCCGATGTATGATGTGATGTTTTACATTCACGGAGGAAGTTTTATGTTTGGCTCTGGTCAAAAATACGGAGCAAAATACCTAATGGACCGAAAAATTGTGCTCGTCACAATCAACTATAGACTTGGTCCAATGGGTAAAATGTACAAATCGAATGAGACTTACAAAATTATTTTTTTCGTTATTTTAAATTAGGATTTTTAAGTTTGGAGGATGAAATTATACCCGGAAACAACGGACTTCGCGATCAAGTTCATGCCATGATATGGGTGAAAAAGAATATTCATAAATTTGGCGGCAACCCAGAAGCCGTAACTCTGGTGGGTCATTCTGCAGGAGGCGCCAGCGTTCATTATCACTCACTATCAATGCTCCCAAGGGGTCCTGAAGTCAAAAGTAAAATTTGTAAACCGACGATTAAATTTTTTACTTGTAGGCCTGCATCAGAATGGCATATCTATGAGTGGCACGGCCACGTGTCCATGGGCTTTGGTTGAAAACGCCAGAGAGCGTGGTCTCAAATTCGCAAGCAGTGTGGGTTGCGACATTGAAAGAGACTCCGAGCACATTTTGCAGTGCCTCAAACAAAGGCCAGTGAAGAAACTCATAGAATCCGTTGAGCAATTTTTGGTAAGTTTTTTTTTGTATTTATTAAAAAAAATTAATAAGTGGGTAACTAAAAAAGGTATGGAATTACACGCCATTTTCACCTTTTGCTCCAGTGGTAGAATCTAAACCGTCACCTAAATATGCTCCGTTTTTGGTTGCACCGCCAGCTAACATAATGATTTCGGGGAGAATGCGCCGACTTCCGTGGATGCTGGGCATAGTGGATGCAGAAGGATTGTATAATGTTGGTACTTTCATTAACAATGAGGTCAAGCTGGAAAAACTTGACAAAGAATTTGACGAGCTTGTACCATATATTCTCGACTTCAATCACACAGTATTAGCAACTGATAGGCTTGAAGTAACAAAGCGAATCAGGAAAGAATATTTCGGCGACAGGAAAATCAGCAAAGCAACCGCAAGAGAAATAATAAAAGTAATTTTGCATATTATTAATTATTAAACAATATAAATTTTATTATTTATATTAGATGGCATCGGATCGGCTTTACGTTGCCGACATTCAGTGGGCAGCAAAAATTCAGAGTCAATTTGCACCAGTATTTTTCTATAAAGTCAGTAGAAGACCAGCAGTGAGCCTGTCAGATAAAATGACAGGGAGTAATACAGATTATGGTAGTTTTAATTATTTTTTAATAAATTTTTTGTGCTTATATATTTTTTCGTATTTATTTTTTAAGGTACCAGTCATGTTGATGAACATGCCTACTTATTAAATATGACCTATGCTGATTACGAAAAATCAGAGGACGAGCAACAGTTTACTGACATGATTCTCGATTTGTGGACTTCATTTGCTAAGGATGATCTAATGTTAATTAAATTAATTTAAATCTCTCTATAAAATATTTAACGTGTAACTTATGAAGGATGCCTGAAACTAATGGACTCGAGTGGAATTGGCTTGAGCATGACAAGGATTTTAATTTCGCACTTTTGGACAAAGTACCAGGACATATTGAATACGACAATGATTTGGGAAATGCCAAGTTCTGGACTTCACTACCAATTAATGAAGGGATTAAGAGATCTAATAATGTCGTGTTTTCAAAATCAGAAAGAAAAGATGAGTTATAGGTAAAAGCAATAAGACACTAATGAGATAACGACTTATGATATTTTTTTACTGTTAAACCTCCAAAATTTACAAATATGCCAAAAGCCATAAAATTTAATTTGTAAAATTAATTATTTTTTTAAAGCCTATATCAAATTAAAAATCACACAATATAACATAAATAAATATATTCGTAATGAATTAAATTAATTTCATTGGTAAAATATAGGAAATAAATCAGAGTTATGCATTCAGCGCAGCTCATAAGTAACGCAGGTTGTGAACTCACAGCTTAACTCATTTTTATTGCTCATAATTTTTTGCATGAGGCTAAACTAATTTTTTTATTTTATTATTTTAACACATTTATCCATTGGAATTAATGGTAATTTCGTTCACATTTCCCATGTCTGTTACAACCCGGCGCAATGCAAAATGTAAACTTGGCACAATGCTGTTTGTCCAACTCAGAAAATTTTATCTTATCGATCGTCTGCCGGCTAGCTTTTATTGACACGTCGAATGATTATCCTCTTCGTACACATCAATTCTTAGCACAAGACGATGCGGTTGCTAAACTTTAAATCGTCCCTTTTCATCGCTCTCCTCTATGTCTGTGTTGCGTCCGCCGATCGCCCTTTCACCAGCGTGAAACAGGGTGATCTTGAAGGAGTTTGGCAAACATCGAGAAAGGGTCTTCAATATGCCGCTTTTATGGGGATTCCGTATGCTAAACCGCCAGTTGGTCCATTGAGATTTGAGGTGAGAAAATATAAATATTTTGATAAGAAATAATATTTCGTTCTTTTAAAGCCTCCAAAAAAAGCTGATAGTTGGAGTGGAGTTTTGGACGCAGGAGATTTTAGGTCGCCATGCATTGCTTATGAACATGTTTTGGGTCCAGATAAACACGACCCAGTTGTTGGAGAGGAAGATTGTCTTTTTTTGAACGTTTACACACCTCGTCTTCCAAAGGAAAATGCAAAAGATGAAGATTTGTTGGACGTTGTTTTTTACATTCATGGAGGCGCCTTTATGTTTGGTGGCAGTCAGTATTACGGAGCTAAATATCTGATGGACATTGATGTTGTTCTCGTCACTATGAATTACAGACTTGGTCCGATGGGTACGAAAAATAAAAATAAAATTGTAACGAAGGATTAATAAAATCAAATTTAATTAGGTTTTCTTAGCCTGGAGGATGAAATTGTGCCTGGAAACAATGGGCTAAGAGATCAACGGTTCGCTATGGAGTGGGTGAACAAAAACATCCGCAGTTTCGGCGGAAACCCTGAGCAAGTGACTCTCATGGGCCTTTCTGCAGGTGGAGCCAGCGTCCATTATCACCTCCTGAAAAATGATGTGCATAGTGAGTAGAAAAACGGATATTATTGGTATTTTTTTTCCAGCAGAATTAGTAAATAATTTAAGACAGAAGGCATTTTATTTTTATTTTTGGTTCAAAACTTAGAGGGCACATGGAAATTTATAGGAGATATTAAAAAAAATGTAGATTGTATGTTTTTCTAATTAATGTCATCGCAAGCAAAGTCAATCCTTTTATTTCAGAAAAAAAGATAACTTAAAATGGTTTAAGATATAGCCCCAAGCATCAAATAATTGTAAACACGCCAAAAAAGGCATTTTTTAGATTTAAATGTTTTAAACAAAATGCCACAATGGCACAGATCAATAAATTTTTTTTTTAAATATTTTTATAAATAAGTCATTTTCACTAATTAAAATTAATTAAAACATGAAAACGTACTGCATATACTGACTTAGTTTTAATTACTAATATTCGGAAAAAAGGATTATTCAAGGCTGGAATATCGATGAGCGGAACCGCCACTTGCCCTTGGGCTTTAGTGGATAATGCTAGAGAAAGAGCACTCACCTATGCTACCAGTTTGGGCTGTGACGTTTCCGAAGGATCAGAAAAAATCGTCGAGTGCCTGAAAGGACTACCTGCTGATGATTTGATGCGCGCCGTGGAACAATTCCTGGTCGGAATAAAAATCACAAAAAAAGTTGTACATAATAATAATTTTTCTTTATATAAAAGGTATGGCAATATTCACCTTTTTCGCCTTTTGGTCCAGTCGTTGAAATCAATCCACCTGAAAAATACCCAGCATTCTTATATCACCCACCTGCCAATACTTTACTTTCTGGAATGGCGAGGAGAATTCCCTGGATGGTCGGAACAGTTGAATCTGAAGGACTCTACCCCGTTGCCAGTTTCATTGACAACGAGGAAGAGCTGAAGAGGCTTGACGAAGAGTTCGACGAACTTGTGCCATTCTTACTTGACTTCAATCACACTGTTAAAGAGACTGACAGACTAATGGTGACGAGGAAAATTAGACAGGAGTATTTTGGTGACAAAAAAGTTAGCAAGGAAACCACGAAAGAGCTCATCAAGGTTGAAATACATCAATTGAATTGTCAAGTGTGTGCAATTAGAAATGTGATTTGCAGATGGCTTCTGATCGATTGTTCCTCGTTGACGCCCAGCAAGCAGCGGAAATTCAGGGTCAATTTGGTCCTACTTTCTTCTACAAGGTCACCCGTCGCCCCTCAACAAGTCTAAGTGACCTGATGTCTGGGACAAATAATAATTATGGTATTATTTATTTTTAATTATAGTTTCAACTTATTTTGAAAATCTGTATTTAAAAGGCACTAGTCACGTGGACGACCTATCCTATATCATGAACATGACGTTCTACGGGGATAACGAAAAAACTGGAGACGAGTTAGAGTTCATGGAAATGATGCTTGAGTTGTGGAGAACATTTATAAAAATGGATGAGAAGTATTTACAAAAATTTAAATAATTCATTATCATTCAAATTTATTTAATCAATTTTTAGGGTTCCCCATTATAAAGACTTGGTATGGTCTTGGGTTGACCCGGAAGCAGATTTCAATTACGCGCTGTTGGACAAAGTTCCTGGGCATATTGCGTATGACAATGACATGGGGAACGCTGAATTCTGGCTGTCTTTGCCAATTGAAGAGTCCACGCAGCGAACTTCACAGAGAAGGAAATTTTTAAGAGACATGGAAAAAGCAAGAGATGAATTATGAGAATTGTGTCAATTTAAATTTTAAATAGTTGCTTTTAAAGAAAATGAAGTTAACTGGTTTTTATATTAAAACTTGTCATTATAAAAAGCGTGACTTTTATTTATTTCTCATCTACCATGCATGTTGCAGCCAATAATGTACGGGTGCTAGCTCACGTGGTGTGCGCCGGTTTTATCTCCCTCTATGTGGTCTCGCCACTGTTCTACATTGTGCTGCCAGCATGGGGAATTGATGAACTGTGTGCTGTTGGCTGAGGGTACGAGATGGCGTATGATTTAATCTTCGTCACTTTGCCGTTGATGAATTAAAACTTAATAGTAATTTTGCCTATCAATGTATAAGCCTGCAATGAAAATTTTCATTTTTGTATTTTTTTTTACGTGTGATGAAATACATATGATAAAATTTTAATTCATTTAACTTTTTTTATCTATAATTTGAAATTTAATTCAATAATAAATCCATTTTTCAGTTATTATTTTCGTTCATAATTATTCGAATTTATACCAAACACTTTGCAAGTTGAGTAAGATGAGCTATTGTTGGGAGGGAAACAATAATTTTTTGGACAAAAGTACAACCTGTAAAATAAAATAAAAAAAAGATTTTGCGAAATCTTCAGGTATCAAAAAACACAATTTGCCGCAGTGAACCTTGGTTTTTCTTAAATTTATTTGAAATTTTCATATGTTAGAAGCTTTTATTTACTAGTTTTTATATATCTAGATTATGTATCTCGTTATAGGCAGAGATTGCCTTGTGGTACACCAATAAACCTAATTTAAAACTAGTTTTTTTAAATATTTCTAATTAAAGTAACAATAAATAAAACTTAAAGATTGAAGAAAAGGACCAACTATTTTTTTTTTTACCAATTTGTCACTCACTTTCTGTCGCAATGAAATAAAATTTTTTATTAATGTAAAAAAAAGTTTGATGATTGGAGCAATCACGTGTGTCCTCTAATTAGGATAGGCATGAATGGCAAACGTGTGCAGTGACGGCAGCTGGACGTCCAACAGCTCCGGACAAAGCCCGCCGGCTGATTGGGAACTGATGCAAAAAGAGTGCACATGTATCCATCTACATATTATGCCGTGTGTATATTGACAGCTAAATTGTGTCCAACAGTAATGCACCGTGAAATCCGGCGCGCGGTGTTTTGTGCAGCCGCTTTTTTATATTCACTCGCGCCCATTTCCGCTTGATGAGAATTCGTCAATGCTAACAGGTTTAACCGAGTTTACTTAATTTCCGCCATTGGGGCCGGGGTGGCACGGGGGTATTATTGTGGTGTGCCGGCGTATCATTTTATCTCCCGAGGTGCAGAACACGGCAGATGCGCGTCGGTGAAAAAGGGATTTTGGCGGCGGACCGCAGAGGCGCACGTGAAATAACAATCGTCCTATCAAAATTACGCTCTAATGAGCACCGCCGCATTTGTTACTTGAAAACATATTTTAGCATCAGAGTGATTCAAAACATGAATGATATTTCATACGATTTAGGTTTAAACAAAAATTAGAACCTAGTTTTTCTGGCAAGAAGACTGAAAAGTTGTTTGAGGATTTTTCTAAAAATTATATGAACAATTTTTTAAATAAAATATTTTTCTTCTTTGCTCCTATATTATGGCCCGATTAGAGCTTCAATTAAAAATAAATTTCTGAAGTGAATTTTTTTCGTCATTTCGTATCACTTTTATGTTTGATAAAATATTTAAAATTCCAGTTTTCAGGATTCTCTAAAAGCATTGAACTATAAAATTCTTAATCCGAGCAATAAAAAAACGCTATAAGAAATGAAATGTCGACGTTAAAAACAATCATCATACACTTTTCATGTTGAAGAAGATAATTTCTCTAATTGAATTTCAAATCAATTTAATCGGAAACGCTGAATTTTTCTCGCTCCTCAATGTTTGATTTAAAAAATTCAATAAAATTGCAAACAAAAATCTTACTTAATTTTATATTAAGACTGTAACTGAACGAACTGTTGGCTTTCATCTGCACTTGCACCCATACGCGTCTTCATTAGGAGAAGCATTCATACAAAATGCTCCTCTGCGCTATGCATGCATTTAAAATGAAATTTCCGCCTGGCCGATCATTCAGAAAGGGCGACTATGGATACAATGACAATAAAGCGCCCGGCTATAAAATAAAAAGGGGTCGGCTGCTGCAATATATAAAAGTGATAGGCGTCACCCATCACTTTTCGCCGCGCATACAAATATCCGCTCTCTCGCTTGCAAACATTTACTTCAACTGCAATCAATATATTCAGCGGGATGAGAATGACACACAAAAAAGTTGTAGCGTGGAAAATGTTGCAGACCCGTGGCGAACCGAATGGGTCACAATTACAAATTCAAGTGATGTGGATGAAACTCATGGAACCCTCTATTGTGGAATGGGGCTCTTGATTAAAGAAAGGGAGAAAATAAAATATTGCAGCAAATGGCGTGGAAACAAGAGTTTTATTGAAAATTGTTTCGAGTATGGCTATAGGGAATTTATGTATTTTTATCCGCACCCGTTTTGACAAAATTAGGAATGAAATAAATTGCGGTATTCTTTTAGTCCCAGAGGATGGGAATATCCTCTGAGGGTACCGACCTTTACTCGGGACTGGCGTTACACCTGCTAGGGGACAGGTAGTGTCAATAGCCAGCCTGAAAGTGATACCGCTTGGTCTTTGATGTCGGGTTCTACAGGTCAATGATTCGCATAAGGCTTGATTTCATATTTCTCTTTTCCGTAAATTACCTCTCTTAATAACTACCCTATTAACACTTACGGCTACCTCGGTCTGTTGCCGATTAGCCCCCCACTGAATATTCCAACCCTCAAGTCTTATACTGTTAATTTATCAACCCCGAAGGACACGGCGTAAAATAATACTCAGTGCTTGAACGGTTTGGGAGATACTAATCTCTCTGCTTTATTAATATCAAGGAGATACGATTTACATAGGGTGACATCTAGTGGAAATATATACACATATATCAACTGTCCCCGCATACCCCCCTGACAAAACAAAACAGAAAAAAAAAATTAAAAAAAAAAAAAAAAAGAAAATTAACTCTTAATTATCTTTTTTGTTTGTCAGTGTATATGTTTTGTCTAAATTATTCAATGTGTCAACTCTGCGACACAAGTGGAAATTAAATACGAATTTGTTTGTTACACTAAATTTGTTTCAATTGTTGCAAATTTTCACAATTATATTGAAAATAACGAAATCGGTTATAAAAAAGAAATTTGCTTTTGAGCTTTATGAGATTGAACTTAATTTTAGAAATTGTAGTTACATCCATCTTACTTTTTCGGAAAAACACATACTAAATTCTAAAGGTTAAAGCGCTGCATTCTAATGAGCTCACAGGAAACTGAATTGTTTCTCCACGCAATTTTTTCACCTTAGACTATTGTTTAAACTGGAACTATTCACTTTTGGTGCCAACTCCGGCGCAAATCCTCGCTTTGCTCCATTGATTCGTCATCTTCTGTGTCACCGGAATTAGTCACTGTCGATGTGCTCGTTGAGGTTTTGTTTTGAGCCTGAGGTTTTGTTGTGGTTTCATTTTTTGTAGTGATGGTCAACGGAGTATAGTCATTGATATTCATAAGCTGATTCAACAGCCGCTTCTCTTTCGCAGAGCCTTGCTCCAAACTGGGGATCATGTCTGTCAGGAAATCTATTCCAATCGATTTGGATCGATTGAGAGTTTTAACCAGCTTCAACGTATCTGTAGAATTCTCCAGCAATTGGTCCTTGAGGATATGAAATTGTTGGACTGACAGAATCTGCGCAAAAAGGTTGTCCTTGGGAAGTGTCAACACGATGGATGGCAACATCAAATCGTCTGCGGACAAGATTTCAATCGCTCGTGGCCGCAGGTCTGGGCCTTCACGACGTTTCCTTTTTAATTGTTGTTGTTGAGGGCGCGTCTCTTCCTCGTCTCTCTTGCGCTTGTCAGCTTGTGGAGCGGTGTATATATTTACATTGGCGTTCTTTAGGTCAAAAGACGGAGTCTCAGCCATCCTGTAAGTGCATAATAATTTAGTATTTTGATTTAATTTATTGTAAATTTTTGTATACTTTTTTGTGAGTATAATTTCTTGTTTTATTGTTCATTTAAAATTATTTATGATTAGCTATATGAAGTATGTAAGACGTGCTGTTTTGTATGAGATAAAACTATTATAAAACACATGGTAAAGTTTCAATGACAGCATGATTAATGTTTACTTTCTTGACTATTTAATAGTTTTATATTGCTTATCGGGAGTGCACGATTAATTTTAACTAACGAGCATTTATTTACCTTTTAATACTGTTAGGATGATTTGCGATTGGAAATAGGAGGATGTCCAAAAAAGAATCTTCAAAAGATCAGTTTGCTGAATTCAATTGTGTCGCTTGAAAGGTCACGAGATTGTGATAGTGGGCGTAACGGTGCTCATTCTGCTATTTGCACTGCACTTTTTCACCTCTGACGTCATAGCAATCATCTGTTGCGTTTGTTTTGATCTAATCCTTACTATCTGCACTGATCGCTTGCTCATCTGTTGTCGCCCACGCTGGCTGATTATAATATTTTTTAATTTGATCTACATTCACTATGTGTTCTTTACTGCCATCTAGAGATTTGACTTTGAATGCATTTTTGCTCACCTTCGCAATAATTTTGTACACTATTGGTTCTCTGCTCGGCGCGAGACTTGCTGCAATCTTTTTGTCTGCTTTGGAAAGTACGTGATCATCTTTCAAAATTAAATTTCCCACTTCAAAATCGTGTTCAATACGCCCTTTATTGTATTGTTTTTCCCTTTGTTTTGCTGATTTGTGGAGTGATTTATGCGCTTTCTTGTATGCCTCCTGAGCTTTTTCTATTGCGTGTCTTAAATAAATAGTCCTTTGTTGTAAGTTTGCATCACTAATTTCATCTGTATTTTCAGGTTCAACATCGAATATTCTTGGAAGTTCTCTGCCCAAATGGAGAGCGTTTGGTGAAAAACCAGAGGATTTGTTCGGAGCTTGCCTGTATGCGGACATGAACATTGAAAGGTGAGTGTCCCAATATTTGTGCTCTGTAATGTAAGTTTTAATTCTTGTTTTGATTTCTTTTATGACTCTCTCAGCCTTGTTGGTTTGTGGTCGGTATGGAAGGTTCCGCACACGTTTTATTCCCAACTTTTTGCACGTAAGTTTCCAAATTCTACTTATAAATTGTGGTCCTGAGTCAGAGTTAATTCTTTTATAGGCTCCGTTCCTTGCTACGAAGTCCAGAAGTCTTTCAATCACCACATTGGACGTGCTCGTTCGAATTGGGTACGCTTCTGCCCACAGTGAAAAACCATCAACTAGCACAAATATAAACTTGTTGCTTGAGCTGCTTGTTGGGTAAGGTCCCATTAAATCCACATATAGCGTCCGATTTATGTACTTTTCCAACCTTGCTGCATACAGTCCTAGTTTTTTATAGTTTCTCTGTTTAACAGTAGCACAAGGCAAACATCCTCGTACATAATGATAAACGTCCTTCTGCATTTTTGCCCATACAAATTGTCTCGTTATTAATTGAAGCGTTTTTTTAACTCCATAATGCCCTGCGGATGGGTGATCGTGATTGATTTTTAGTATAATTTTTCTCAAGTGTTGGGGCACAACAATCAACTTTTTGTTCCCTTTCACAAGTTTTAGTACTTCATTTTCCAAGACATAAGATTTGAGTTTATTTTGTTCCAATTTGATTTTTAATTGAGTAATTTGTTCATCTTTTAATTGTTCTGACTTCCATTCTTCATGAGTAGTTGGTAAAACTCCCCAATTTTCTAAGTGCATGAAAAAGCAGTGCATATTCCTTTTGGCCTCTGTTTTAGATGGCGTTACAAGTTTACTTATGAACTGACGTTTCGGCCACCTTTTAACTCTTCTAATTTTTGTTTGTTTTTTTAGAGGTTTGTCTGCTTTTGACTCTCGCAACTTAGTTTGTTCCCGCAAGAGTTTTTCTGCTTTGCGATGAGCTTGGAGCTCCTTTCTACTCTTGTGCGTGCAACGGCCACATTGATGCATCGGCTCTTTATCTGGTTCAGGATCAAACTCAGCTTTTACTGGTTGAAATTCCTCAGTAGGTATCATTTGCTCATTCAATGTCATTTTTATTTGGTCTTGCTCTTTTCCAGCATGAGGTGCCCGAGAAAGTGCGTCTGCAATCTTGTTATCAACCCCTTTTCTATACGTGAATATGATGGGAAGCGGGGACAACTTCATCACCCACCTCCTCAATCTGCCTGGTGGTTCAGGATGGTTGAAAATATGCTTTATTGCTGTATGGTCCGTTTGCACCTCAATTTTGACGGCGTGATGTAAGTACTGTGAAAACTTTTGTATAGCCCAAATAATTGCCAACATTTCTAGCTCACTGCTACAAAAATGCTGCTCGCTTGCTGCGCAAGCCCTACTTGCAAAAGCCACTGGCCTCAATTTTCCATCCATTTCTTGCATTAAACAAGCGCCGACACCAGCTTTGGAGCCATCGGTCATCAAGACAAATTTTTTATCCATATCTGGTAAAGTCAAAATACATTTTTCAGAGCAAATTAGTTCTTTGAGTTTATCAAACGCCTTTTGTTGTTCCTCTTTCCATATAAATTTTTGGTCTTTTTTAAGCAATTTATGCAGAGGTTTTGCTACAATAGAGCACCTTGGTATGTGTTGACGTAAGAACGACACCAGTCCCAAAAAACGCTGTAGTTGTTTTTGTGTTTTGGGTCTGGGAAATTCCTTCACAGCCAAAGTTTTTTCTGGGTCAATTGTAATTGAGTTTTCTGAAACTATATGTCCAAGTATCTTTAGTTTTGTCACACCAAATAGTACTTTTGTGGGATTCACTTTCAATCCTGCCTCATGTAATTTTCCTAAAGTCTTATCTAAATGCTCTGCATGTTCTTTTATATTTCTAGAGAATGTAATTATGTCATCCAGATAACAAGCAGCATATTCCCAATAAGCTTCTGCTAATACTTTATCCATGTGATCTTGAAATTCATACGGAGTAGAATTATGTCCGAAAGTGCTCCGTTTATATTGAAAACGCCCTTGTGGTGTTCTGAATGCCAAGTATCGCCGACTGTCTTTTCGGACTGGAATATTATTGAATCCTGAAGCCAAATCTATTATTGAGAAAATCTTTTTATTCGATAACTGTGACAAAATGTAAGGAATTTGTGGGATTGTAGTTGGCTTAACATTAGTTGTTCTTGCACATAATGGACGTAAATCTAGACATAAGCGCCAGTTTTTTGGGTCTTTTTCATCCTGTTCTGTAAATGAACTTTTTGGGCCTTTTATTGGAGCTTTTCTAATCAAGACTGGTGCAGACAAAAAATCTGAATTTGAAGGCTCTATCATGTCATCTTCTAATAACTCTTTTGTTTTTTGTTCTAGAATTTTGCGCATCGACGAATTCATGGGTCGCATTGGTGCTTGATATGGTGGACCTGGTGCAACTTCAATGACTTGTTCAACGCCTTTCGCCAATCCAGCCTTCATTGAGAATAATCCCAATTTATGATATTTCCTAATTACAGCTTCAATAACTCCATTCTCATCATGTTCAATCTTTTTCAGTAACATTTTCAAGATTGTATCCTGATCCATGACCTCTGCCTTGGTACAAGTTTCTGTCTGAGCTTTCGGAGGCTCTTCGTATTTTCGACGAATTTTCGGTCTGGTGCTGTGGAACCATCCATTGAAGTGTAAGCTGATATCTGCTTTTGCCAGAAAAGGCCTTCCCAAAATTACATCTTCAGTTGAATTATCTAGTGCAAAAAATGTGACTGTTGTTTGAAATTCATACCATTTTATTTTAAGTGTAATCCCTCCAATTACTTGAGTCATTCCTTCAACCATGCAAATTTTCTTTTTAGACTTCCATGTTTTTGCTCCTCTAGCTTGTAATGCATAGAATAATTTACTACTAATAATGCAAACATCACTGCCAGTGTCTAGCAGAGCTAGTGCTTTTTGTCCATAAAGAGAAACTTTAATTAATGGCTTTTTGTCTAATGAAAGTGGCATTTTCCTCACTGGAATTTCAGAGTTTAATTTCCTAATTTTTCTATTCTGTCTATATCTCAATCTTTTCTGTCTCATTTTAAGTAGTTTGACGTCATGCTGTTCAGAATTTGATTGATTTTTATTTTCTTGTCCTTGGTTTTCTAACAGCTTGGCGTCAAACTCGTCATTTAGTTTTTTGACTTTGCTTTTCTATCCGCAGGTGATTTTGCTCGGGAGAGAGCACCCTGCTGTGACCTACTTGGTGACTTTGACTGCGCTCTCTTTGTTTCCCCCGACTTGCCTTTGAATTTGTCTCTACGATCATAATCTGTTCTTGAGTCTGTTCTGTTCCCGGAGCGTGAATCACTTCTCTAAATTCTGATTCGTCTTTTCTCTTTCAAGGTGAGCACTCGGAGGTCTGTCCAGCATGTCGTACCAAGACGAACTACCTGAACGATCATCTCCTTGTTCTCCACACTCTGACTGTTCTAACTCCATTGAGACACGCGACATTCTTCGACTTCTGCCAGCCACTTCACTGTTGTGCTGTACCTGACGTTGTGTTTGTGAGCCTTGCAAGAAAGATCTTTGACCACCTGAATCATCGACTACTTTTTTCTTTGTGCCTGTTTCTGATCTACTTTGTTGTCTTTCCCAAGCATGTAAATCTGCCTCTGTAATTCCACTCTGTCTACTTTTGCTTTTTAAATCTCTTTCCTTTATTTTCTCCATAATCAAATTTTGCTGTCTTGCTACTGTTTCTCTAATCAGAACTAACATTTGCCTTTGTTGCTCACAACCAGGTTCTAATGAATGAGCTATATCTAACTGACCTTTAGCCCAATCTCTTAACTCAAACAACTCTTTTTCAAAACTCTGATATGAATCATTTGCATGTGCTAGTTTTTCTCCTCCTGCTGCTCCTTGTAAATTGTTGCTGTACTGCTGCTGAATTTGATGTTGCTGTTGCTGAATCTGCTGTTGTTGTTCTCTGTATTTTTCTACCTTTTCGGCATCGGACAACTCCTGCCTTAAATTAACACCAGATTGTTGATCTCGAGAGCTTGACTTTTCTCTCTCACTAAATTCCATGCTTTCAACCATGCTTAGTATATCTTGTGTCTCATCTACTATTTCTACTTGAGTGATTTTGTCCGGAGACTGAATTGAGTCCCAGTCCTTCAGTAAACTATCTGCCCTTGTAGCATTATTCTCTCTAACTGTATTCAATTTCTTTTGTAGCTCAAAATGCAATTTATCCTGTTTGACTTGTCTACTAATCTCTTGTATTTGCATTTGTTTTTCAGATTTTGTTGCTTCTTTCTTATTAAAAAATCCTAACCAAAACTCTGTTTCTTTCTCAGTTAGTTTTTCCCAGTGAATGTCTTTTGCCTGAATTAGATTTAAACTTTTATTTATCAACTGGGTCTGTCCATCTGTTTGTTCCGGACTGTGTTGTGCTGTGCTCGCCGCCAAAGGGAGACCCGGAAGCTCACCTGTGACTCTCTCTTTACTTTGCCAATTCGCCATACCTGCGAAAGGTTGGGAACTCGAGTAAGGTACAAAATGCTGCGAGAGACGTGCTGCGTCTCCGCCTTGCAACAAATTTTCCTGACTACTGAACAGCATCAAATCATTCCTAGCCGTCAAAGTTGCCTCAAGGTCACCGGAGTAACCCTGAGTTCCTTGCTGTACTCGGATAGCTTCGTCCTGATAACCGGGTGCTTCTTGTTGCTGACCTCGGCCGCGGCCAACATCAAGCGACCCTTTTGATCTGTTAAAGCGGGTTGTTTGTGGGTTCATTTTTATTCAAGGTCATAAAACAAAATTGAAAAAATTTTTTACTCTGCCATCTTGATTTTCATCTCTATTATTATTTTGTGCCAAATGGCATTAACCTTGCCCTCAGACCAGCGTTCAGGCCCCCAATTGCGGTATTCTTTTAGTCCCAGAGGATGGGAATATCCTCTGAGGGTACCGACCTTTACTCGGGACTGGCGTTACACCTGCTAGGGGACAGGTAGTGTCAATAGCCAGCCTGAAAGTGATACCGCTTGGTCTTTGATGTCGGGTTCTACAGGTCAATGATTCGCATAAGGCTTGATTTCATATTTCTCTTTTCCGTAAATTACCTCTCTTAATAACTACCCTATTAACACTTACGGCTACCTCGGTCTGTTGCCGATTAGCCCCCCACTGAATATTCCAACCCTCAAGTCTTATACTGTTAATTTATCAACCCCGAAGGACACGGCGTAAAATAATACTCAGTGCTTGAACGGTTTGGGAGATACTAATCTCTCTGCTTTATTAATATCAAGGAGATACGATTTACATAGGGTGACATCTAGTGGAAATATATACACATATATCAACTGTCCCCGCAAAATAAATTGGAGAGGAGCTTTTTGTCTCTACCATCAATGGAATTCATGGAATTTTAAAATCTGGATTCACATATTTGCTGATGTAATCAGTTAGTTCTGTTATAGATTAATTATATCAAGTAATATCAAATCATTTTAATTTAACTTACATCAACGCATATATTTGTGTGAGTTATATTTTAAAATAAAAAAGTTGAGTATAAAGCAACTTACATCAATACAATTCAATTTTATTGTTGTTCTGTTAAACAACAATATTAACAGTAGTCTTTAGAAAATGTCAGGTCTAAAATTAAAATTTAGAGAATAAAACCCCTTGCTTAGGGCAAAGGGAAAAATTCAATAAAATTGCAAACAAAAAAAGTGACGTATAGACACATTACTCAGTTTTATTTTTAGAGACTTTACAGTTATGACAAGACTGTAACTGAACTAACTGTTGACTCACATCTGCACTTGCACCCATACGCATCTTCATTAGGAGAAGCATTCATTCAAATTAATGCTACTCAGCGCTGCATGCAGTCACGTCTTGATATTTCATAAAACTAACAAATTTATTTATATAATATATGGATTTATTTAAATTAAAAGAAAAACATCTGGCAAAAGGCAAAAGTAATAAAACTCAATTGTATAAATTTAAATATTGAAGAATTGTACTCTGATGAGGTATTTTCAATAAACTATATAATAAAACTCAATATAATAAATACATAAATACATAAATTTTACTCCGAATTTGAGTTTCTTGATTATTTAAAGAATTTGTAAATATGTTTCTTTCTTTCGATCATTCTATTTTTCATTTGACCCGGTTGTAAATAAGTGGATTACGACGGAGATATAATATGTAATATCACTTATGACACAATAAAAGAGAAGGAATAATAATAATAATCCAATTTTTAATTAATTTATTACTCTTTAATAAATAGAGTTTAAACATAATGTAACTTCGTGTTTTATCTATTAAAGAATTTTTCATAAAATTATCCATCAAATCGTATGTACTTAACAGACAAGCAGTCTTCTCAAAACCGAATTTAAAACTATCAAAAGTTGAAAGTTGAAATGTTCCCCCTTCAAATTCAATATTTTAGTCCTCGGGCCGACTATTTGTAAGTCTTTTGTAGACCCAAATAAACTCAATAAAAAACTCGGTTTTAATTTATTTACTAAAATGATAATTAATTTTTTTTTGGGCAATTTTTACGTACAATGATTTTGAAAAATCCATTCCAATTTTCAATGTAATGAATTAAATTTATAATTATTTAAAAAAGGTTTCTCGGCAGAAAAGTCTGCGAATGTGCCAAGAAGCAGGTGGCGGCAGCGTCTCACGGTTGGCTCGTTATCTCGCGATTTGATTGGTGGGGGCGTCGTTGGAAAAGGGCGTCCGCCGCGGCACACGGCACACAGGTATGCAAAAGCTCTCTCGGTGCTCCGTCATGGATGGGCAATATATAGATAGAGGTGGAGGCCGAAAAGGGCGAAATACCGACGGTTATGAAATTCCATTGGCATTCCTCGCGAATCGCCGTCCACGCGCGAAGCGGCACCTGTTCCGCACCGTGAATTCAATTAATTATTCAGCCGGCAGTAAATCGGCTTACTTGGATTCCTCTCCGTCCAACCGGCAAAGTCTCCCGCTCGCACTTCTCGCCTGCCGAGCTGCCAGCCGCGCGTCAAACGACGCGAATTTGATTATGCCTCATTTGGGGCCAACACCTCGATGAATCCGACAAACTCTAATTCGGATTTTAGCGAATTGCCGCGCTCTGACAAACCAGAATGATATTTCTGTTCTGGAATTACATTACATTCAGAGAAGATAAAACAAACAATTTATGTCTAAGAAAATTTAAAATCATGACTTCTGATTTATTTAGACGTCTGTTGATTAAAAACTTTTGAAATGAAAAAGCAATATTGCCGTTTTTTTTAAGAAAAATGTTTCATCGTTTTCATAAAAGTGGAATATTTGTTAAAAATTTGATTAGTAAATAAAAATCAGAGACGGGGTTTAAGTTTAGGTTATTTAGACATTATCATATGACCTCAAATAAAAAATAAGCAATGAGAATTTTTTCAACTTCTTAATGAATTGTAATATTTTGTATTTTTTTACTCTTTTCTTTTACTTGCGATGTACAAAGTTGCAAATGGGGTGCGTCGCAATGAGTAATTACATCGTCTGGTGAGTACTGGTGACTTCTCCTAAGTCAATAAATATCAATAATTATGATATTAATAACAATAATAATAATTAGATCTAAATTTAATAAATTTGAAATTTTTTCACCCAAAGAAAAGAATTTAAAAAAAAAGTAAAATGTAAGATGCAACCTGTTAAGCTTCAACGCTATGCGTGATGCATAACCTTTAAATATACAGTGGTCGATATAGTTTTTATCCATGTTCTATGCATACTATGAATTTCATTTCATGTCTAATGAAAATCTTTAATATTAATCCCAATATTATTTAGCCATTTCCATTAGATGAAGTTATATACTATTATTAAATGTAAAATGATGATATGAACTTAATTATAATAATGAAAGGCAATTCATTAAACCTAGATACAACAGTACAAGATGCAACCTAACACCATAATTATACACATAATTTTTGATAAATTTGACAGGAAAAGTTTTTTATATAATCTTTGCTAATGTAAAGATTGCAAAAACTTTAAATCGCTTGAAAGCGACAAAGTGTTCTATTTCAAGATTTAAAAATAAAATAATATCGAGAACTGTATTTTTAAATTAGTGTTAACATTTGCTTTCAAATTTTTTAAAAATGAAAAATGATCTGTGAATTAATTTAAAACTTGTATAATTCAAAACGAGCAGGTGAAGTTATTCTATCATTTTTTGTAATTTACTATAACTTCTTTTATGAAAATGTTACCAGCATCACGCAGAATCTCTAGTATAGGAATCACGCTCTCGTATAAATTATATGAAAAATGAAAATGCTTCATATGGAAAGTAATAGAGTCGAAGAGCACAGCAGGCATGCATATTTATTCGTGAATGCGGTGCTCGTGTTTCAGCTTGAGCACTCTCCAGCGCCGAATAAGCGTGGCTTATACTTGGGGCGCACAACATCATTTTGCCTGCAAAAATGAACCGCCGGCGTAAAAAGATGTGTCGAGAGAGAGAGAGTTGCATGTGTGTATGGGAGAGACGGGTTGGCGTGAGTGTTTGTGTTTCTCTCGCGTGTACCTTCATCATCCGTAGCGCAGAAAGCACTTTTCAAAATGTGTAACGAAGGAAATTTTTATACACATGCTGACACGCTTGGCAAAACACGTCCGTGTACCCTCGCAATGAGCTTCATCCCTCTCTCTTCATCATTTTTATAATAAATGTAAAAAAAGTATTCCTTCGTAATGTTTTACATTTTTTGCGCGGAAAGTTCTGTACTGTAGCTTTGGTTAAATAACGTGCTACGTTGCAAAATAGTGAGTAGGGATTTTATTAAGGTGCGAAAATATTTCATTTTTTTAGCGGTTTAGAATTTTTGTTTATTTTTTCAGATATACTGAAACCAAATTCACCAACAACTCAATTAATTCAATTTTAAAATTCGTAATAATGTTGTGCGTTTCAGTATGTAGATTTTTACTTATGTTTGATTTGGAATAGAATGTTGTAGTTATGTATTCAGTGAAATAGTGATTTCTTAAAAGAAACTATTCATTTTTGTTGGGAAAAAATTTCATTTTAAGTTATTTTTTGGCGATCAAAGTTTTTAATTGGCTTCAAGTGCACATTGTATTAAGTTTAATTTTGAGATAAACATATGAAAACTATATATTAATCCTATTTGAAAAAAAAAATGCTTTACCCCCTAAATTCACTTGATTTTTTAAGAGAAAAATAATTATGTAAAAAATGGCCTAAGCGTAAGATGAATTCTAAATCACACCTGCTGGCTATAATTTTTCCGTCATATTTCCTCGTGTCGCACAAATAAATGACGCCTGACTGATTTTGGCCACGCAAAGCTCAGCTGGAAAACGGCCTGCCTGGTTTATCTGCCGGTGCACGCATGTGTTCGTATAATATGTACAAATGCAAGTACATATAAGGGTTATGACTGCGGGAGCCATAATGTGTGTGCCGTGCGTGTATGTGTAGTATGATGAATTTTCCGTAGCGCTCGCCGGCTTTTTTCACGTTGCCACTGGATTTCATTTTGAATCATCGCTTTGATGTCTGTGATGCGTGTGACCATTTCTGCCTTTTTAACAAACTCATCTCTCTCTGGCTCGTGCCCGCCGCCGCCACCTCCCATCCTCCCTCGCTGCTTTTGGACTGCGGGGGTGTTGTGTGTGCGCGCACAAAACTCTCTAATTTGCCAGCAATGGTACAACTTCAATTACATTTAATATAAAATATATCCACATGCGTGCCATTTGATTTCCATTTCTTCAGTTTGATTCCAAATCTTGCACATATTTTCCAAGCTTTATCTTCTCCCTTTTGTTATGAAGAACAAGAAAAAAAATCAAAATGTATTCAAATCATGCTCAAACTTTCAGTTAGTCAATCATGAAACAAGCAAATACACACTATGATAGAAATATTATGATATATCTTAAGCGGGAAGAAATATTATATGAATCTGAATTAAAATATCTATGCGCAAAAGCAACCAAATGGCACAATATTTATTTGTTTCCTTCCGTTTTGAAAAGAAACAGAAAAAAATTACATCTATTGGGCATTTTATCCATATTTAATATTTTCATGTTGTTACAGCTTTAAATGAGATAAAAAGATAAATGTTTCAAATTAATAAAAAAAATCGCAATGTTATTGTGTGTGAGAAATGGGCGCACCTTCTCTTAATTTTTATGTTTTTTAGTGTGAAAATTAAATATATATTCATTTATTTATTTATTTATTCTCCATTCGATACAGTCATGAGTCATGAATACAGCAAACAAAACTATACAGAAAAAGTACAGAAAAAGCTGAAAATACATTTAAAAGAGACATACTGTTAATAAACCCTAGTTAACCCCCTCAATTTTGTTTATAAAGCTGGTTGTTCATATTTTAATTTCATTAATTCATAAATAACGAATATTTGTTTCAAAATTTGGAACTGATGCTGTTGATGCTGCATTGATTGATAAAATTCATTGCATTCTCTTAGAGAGTTTAATGATGCCATTTAACATGAAAATTTCCATTCCTGATTTCTAGCTTTAATAAAAATTCGAGCTGATCGCAGCTCATCCAATCATCGCGGCGAAAAGAGAAGAAGTTGAGTGTTAAGGAATTGGTAAAGCAAGCGATCACATTTAATGGTTTTCCAATCATTAAAATGCTCGCCGAGCACCGCTCAAGACTCAAGACGTATAGATGATAGATCTCATTAAAGAGAGGAGCAGTGCGCGTGGTATATTTGCGGGTGGAAAAGAGAACAGCAGCGCGGGCATGATCATTTTCTGGCCAAATTAATTGACGAGCAAAGGGTGCTTCAAGGATGCTTAAGGGATGAGGAGGGATTTTGATGATGGATTTTTGTGGACGCACCGGCGCGTGACGTAATCTGCAGATGGGAGAGCGAAATTAATTCGCCAAATGCAAATAAAACTCGGCGCGAGAGAGAGAGAGAGAAAGCAACGTGTTTTTAATTAAACGGCAAAAGAGCGACTAATTGTTTACCAAGTTCTTTTCTCATCAGCACCCTTTCTTTCTCTTTCTCTGCGCCAACTACACGAAATTGCGCCCGCGGAGCCGCTTAATTAATTAATCCTTGGTCTTTTGTTTCCGACTGGTGGTAATAAAATTTTTGCTCTTTCCTTTGCTTCTTTTGTCGCTGAAATAAAATATGC